CACACTGTCAGTACATGGCGGTATTCTGACAACAAGCTGTCATTTGGCCATATTGTCCGAAGCTAAGGAGGCAATCAAGCTAAGAGGCAAATTACTGTATCGTGGCGTCAGGGCTGTTTCAGAACAACCTGATCGTGCAACTGCTGGAAGAACGGTTTCTAAATTAGAAAATGACAAAAACTGAGGAAATATGTTCGACCAGTAATCAGCTTCTAAATGCAATGACAATATGTCTGTTATTTACCTAATTTACAACCTGTCCAGAATTACCTATATACAGTAAACTACGGTTATAACAAATTCAAAGGGACCACACATGTTAATTTGTTATAACCATAGTTCGTTATAAACATTTTTAACATGCGGAAAATGAACGGGACCAAGAAACAGTTCGTTATATCAGTCAGTTCATTATAAGCATGTTTGTTATAAACATAGTTTACTGTATATATCCTAATTGTCATAGGAATAAAAAAATTCAAGCACTTCTATCATCATGACTGTTTTAAAGTATTTTTTTGAAGTATTTAAAGAACATTTGCGCATGCAAGGCAGCTTTGATAATTTGAATAAAAAGACATTTCAATGAGATAAGATAAGATATTTATTGCAAATAACATCCTATATTGGAGACAGATTGCAAAACTTACTACATAACCAGGGGCGCAACTTGGCTGATTTTAAGTGTAAGAAAAAAATAATTTTCCAAGGCCCACTTAATGGTTTTGGGGGCATGCTTACCCAGAAATTTTAGAAAATAAGATGCTTTTAAAAGCTATTTCCTGCATTTGGGGACTGTTTATGTTAGATTTTATTTGTAACAAATATTGGTGATATTTTATCATAATTTTTTATCAGTAATATATATATATATGTGTGTGTTTCACCAACACATTTTCAACTTTCATTAAAGAAACATCTACGATGACAAATCAAATTTGAAGATTAAAACGAATCGATAACATTACATGTTCATTCGTTGTATGTGATGGTTATTTATCTTTTCACATCTTAACACGAGCCAAGCTATCATTATAAAGAAAATAATTGGTTGAGCGTGGTTTGCTGATGTCACAAACCATGTACCACTAAACTCCTAAAGTGGGTAAAGATTTTGATTTTCACGTTAGACAATAAATATCACAATTGACCGTGTAGAGGTTGAATAAATAATTTACTGCCCAGATGGTAAATTGAGGTTTACTTACAACAAAAAATCTTTTTGATGTAGGCAGTTGCTTTTCCGCCCCTGATTACATCGATGAAAACAATAAGAAAGATGACTAGAGTGAAGTAATAGTGAAGGTGGGTTGTGGCTGATATGGTGGCATTGCCAGTGTTGTAGAGGTGCATGTGACATCGTGCAGAATTAATGGGAACAGATAAGATTGGTGCAGTGTGGAGCATTACGTGACATTCATGCATTCACTTATTGCATTGACATTTCATTCAGGACAGTTTAAGCATCTCAGGGATGGAAGAAATAACAGTGTAGTTAGTGCAAAACACAGATTATAGAAATAATTATTGACTAAATTCAGAAATATGTACAACATGGTGGAGTAAGGCCAATGAGCTTCGCTGGAAATAGTTCATGGGAAATTGTTGACAAGTTTGGAATGTGAAATGACGTGGCAGCATGGAGTACATGAACGTTGCCTGTGACTTTAAAAACTTGTAAAAAACTTACACATGGTGATTGAGGTGGTTGAGTGTGGTTTTACGCCGCTTTTAGCAATATTCCAGCAATATCACGGCGGGAGACTTACACCAGAAATGGGCTTCACACGTTGTTCCTACATATGGAGGCTTCTATCACCTGTATTTCCATTTCCATCATGTTGTCATGCAATAATGTTATTTATTACTTGCCCGTGAAGAGATCATCCGTTCAATAAACATACAGCTGTATTACACATTGTGTAATACCAAAACGCGTGCTTATGTACTCTCAGAACACGTGTCACGAACAAATATTGAAAACTCTCAACATCCCTTGGCTTATAAAACGACATTGCGTGTGGATTTGATAGATCTCTGAGAGGAGCTTTTGCACACTCGACCCCAGCAACCTTGTTGCTAGGCTCACGTCACATGGCATTGTTTCGCCGATGGATCTTGCAACAAAATTCCACAAATTACGTCATGGGGTATTGTGACGTTATTGTAAACTTTGAGGTGCAAGGCCCGTTCCACAAGGCGATCGTATTGTAGCGCAACGACAGTCGTAAGTCTAAGTTAAAGTATGTGATTTGCGATAGTCTTAGCCCTACGATAATTTTGTGAATTCTAAAGGTGGACCGTTGTATGGTATTAAATTCATACGTTTCAACTTTTGACGTGTTTGAAGTATTATTCTGTTAAACTCAATTGGACTATGCCGTGGATCGTGTAGGTGTCAGCCTATTCATACTCAACAGTATAATTCTAAAAACGTAATAAATGGCAAGTAATAAATAAAATACTAAACTCGCTCCCGTGTAAAACCAATTTTTATGAAACTCGTGAATAGTTGGGGTATCTGACTCGCTTTCGCTCGTCAGATACCCCAACTATTCACTCGTTTCATAAAATTGGTATTACACGGGAGCTCGTTTAGTATTCTATATGTGTATGTTACACCCAATCTGTGCAACTGCCCAGTGTGTGCAATAGGCAATACAGCTTGCCCAGTGCATGCAATTGACAGTGACGTGTGGAAGTCAAAAGGACAAACTTATTTTATAAGGATCTATTCATCGAGTTATTTTACAAAGATCTGATTACTGAATTGTTTTCACATTCGGATGCATCAACATTAAATCATAAATGACTAAGTGGTTTCTTAACAACTGTAAAACAAAAATAAAATACGGCTCGAAAATACATGCACGCAATAGACAGTTGCACAGATTGGCTGTAACATATATATATATCATGTTCTCATCTCCACCATATAAATACTCTATTTTTGTACGAGGCCCCAAGTGGGCATTCTTGTACAATAAAAAAATCTTGAATTTCGTTGTAAAGCTGAACTTTTGTCATGAAAAAACAAAAAACATGTATTCGTGAAAAATAATACATGCAGGTGTTGGGTGCCAGAGTATTGTTTTCACATATACACACTTTTTCGGTCTTTCTTCATGACGTAATGGTTTAGCTGTACTTCATGCTACCATGTTTTTATGTATGACATAATGATTCAATGTTGATGAGGAACCAAGGTGCAAACAACCAACAGCTGTCAGATGAAACAGGCGGTTGCACTCGAGTAACATAATAGTCTATGAAATCTTTTGTTACAAAATACCGGTACATTTCTCTCCTCTAAATTAAAACATTTAATTTTCCGGATGCTGATTTCACAGAGGTGGCTAGACTTGCTTTTATATCAATCTCGATTGTTTTTATTTCATAAAATCCATACATTACACAGTCATGGTGTAGGACTAGCGGTTGTACATGCAGTTCGAGATGTCTGTGGTTCAAAACTTGATGCAGGTGGTAAATGAGTCTCTCAGATATGCGGAATGACAATGGAATAGTTTCTCTCTGAATCTCTCTGTATAGCCATGTACTAACTATATGTTAAGTAAGGATAAGAACTTATGGATGAACAATTTCTTTATTACAACTAAGAGCGACGTTTCGGTGTAGGTTCTCACACCGTTAACCAACAAGTGATTGTCCTTATCAGCATTGACAGTCAGATTAACAGGACTTGACTGTATATAGTTAATATGTCATGGTCATATTCCAGCTCTATGACGCAGCATGGAAATAATTGAGTCTGGAGCAGACAAAACAGTGGTTGATATAGTGAGCAATCGTCGCCTTTCAGGTGCAATGACGGACAATCATCCAAGTCACAGAGCCTGACCATAGGATCCATTAAATCGACTCTTACAACCAGCACAGGTTGCTAGGGTCCAATTCTAATATAATACTTCCCCCACAACTCATCTTATTTAGTATTCATACAAATGTTCAATGAATGCAAAATTGTTTTGAAAAACAAGTCAAACATCAGTTTACAAAGATTCAATGTCACAAGCACTGTTCTTGCATGTTTCATTTATAAGAATTTATGACACTGATTTATATTCTGATATGAATGTAGGTCACAGACATAAGATGTCAGCCAATCTCGAGGGGCATATGGTGTGAAATACCCTGTGTGAGAGCCTATACATAGACTCACACACAGGGTACACCATATGCCCCAAGGGATTGGTTGATAATGAATTTGTCTCACCTACATTCATTCATACAGACCCGGTATAGATGTCCAAAGTTTCACTGAGTAAAACCAAGTTACTTCCCTTTACCCATTGCTTTTGGATAAACATCGGTTCATTTCAGCTCAACAATACTTAAGCTTGATAAGCGATTACCTATAGCGTTATGATTCATATCTCAGCATGATACATGAGCTACGTGGAGAATAATTGCCTGTTCCTAAACCAATCAGAAGCTGGTATTTTAATGTATGGGGAGATTGTGTCTTGTGTCTTGTGTCTTGTGTCTTTTTTTCAAAGAATGTAAGTCACAGACATATCAAATCAGTTGTTGGCCTAAGAATATCACAATTTTATTTAATCTGTTTATTAGTCCAATATATGAACTTTGAATGAAACAACCAATGATCTTATATCCATCCAGATGTTTTAACTGCTGTTTAAAAAACAATGTTGGCCTTAAGATATTGCACTTTTGTGTTTTAAATCTAGCGTTCTACAAGCAAGCTTCAACAATGATAAAGCAGCCAGCGCTTGACCATCAGTGCAGATATTCTGATCCGTTAGCTGGATGTAATCCCTTGACATATTCCCCTTTACCAACATCATCATCCCCACAAACCCCTGTGGACATTTTACATGCATAATCTCACTCAAACCACAGGTTGATGAGGTAAAAACTATTGCTATTCATACATTTTTGGAATATTTGTCATTGTTTCTGGTTTAGCTGCATGCAAATAGAAGAGAATTACTCCAAGGGCTTTGTTTCTTTTGCAGACGCGAGTCGAGTCTGCCCCAGTCCACAATCTCCGGCCTCCAGTGAGTACCACACATTTACATGATGAGGCACTGCAGTGTCATATTTGCTTCACAGAGAGTGCCCTCACATTGTCGCACATAGAGTGCTAAAAGCAGCATCACTTTGCTTACAATGTGTTGTCAGGCGATAGTTTTTAATCAAATTGGTTTTCAAAGTTGCTCTGGCAAAAAGTGGGAAAAAGTTTATCTGAATTGCAAACGTGGTTGTTGACTGAAACGACGTTGCCTATAGTGAGACTGTAATGAAGACGAGACCAGTTTGACAGATATGGCGCACAAAGCTTACGAGTAACTTTTGAAGAACACACTATTTGAAATTTCATTATTTTGGCTTCACTTTCCAACCAGGGTTTTTCACTCCCAAAATTCCAAAAACTAAGATATCAATTTTCTGGATTGGTGGAATTTGGTTTTCTTGGCTGCAAATTCAAACATGCCAAAATAACCTGAATAATGAAATAAGTCCTTCCACTTTATTTGTTTTTTTTTTCAAGTTACATAACAAAGTTGGCTAACTTTTAACTCAAACAAATTTCAGGAGCAATTGCTACTATATAGTTTTCATGTAGCAAAACATTGAGATACTAATTGCTTTCATTAATTTCATGCTCGACAATTTGTACTGACAAGGTTTACAGAGAATAGCCTCAGATGACAATATATGTACTTTGAAGTGATTGACATAGTATCCTTGACATGACACAGATAGTGACTTTGATGTGAATTCTTATATATCATGATTTAACCTTGACATGTTTGTTTGTTGTTTAATGCCGCACTCAGCAATATTCCATCTATATGACGGCGGTCTGTAAATAACTGAAATCTGGTTCAGACAATTGAGATCATGAGCATCGATCCACTCAATTTGGATACGATGACGTGCCTGAACCAAGTCAGCTGGTCTGACCACCCGATCCTGTTTGTCGCCTCTTATGACAAGCATAGTCGCCTTTTACGGCAAGCATGGGTTGCTGAAGACCTATTCAACCTTGACATGACATGACACAGATAGAGACCTCAGTATGATTCTTAGATGAGTAGCCTTGGTGTAATTCTTTCATTTTAACCATGATATGACACAGAGTGACCTTGTTATAATTAAAAATTTAACTTAACATGACAGACTACTCTTAGATAACAATTACATGACACAGATCCAGTGACTTTGATACGATTCTTAGATGGTAGATTAACCTTGACATGACACAGATGGTAACATGGAGTACGGTAGTTCTTGAATAGTGACCTTGATCTGGAAGAGTGACCTTATGTAATTCTTAAATAATGACCTTTGTGTAATTATTTGATAATAAACTTGATGTGACAGAGTCATCTTGATGTAATTCTTAGACAGTAACTTTGACATGACACGGATAGTAACCTTGACATGACAGACAGTAACTTTGACAAGACACAGATCGTAACCTTGACTTGACACAGTAACTTTGACTTGACACAGTAACTTTGACTTGACACAGATAGTAACTTTGACTTGACACAGATAGTAACCTTGACTTGACACAGTAACTTTGACATGACACAGATCGTAACCTTGACTTGACACAGTAACTTTGACTTGACACAGTAACTTTGACTTGACACAGATAGTAACTTTGACTTGACACAGATAGTAACCTTGACATGACCGATATTGACCTTGACATGACAAATATTGACCTTGACATGACCCACATTGAGAAACTTGGCCTTGATTTTTTCAGAGATTACTGGTTCACGGGTTAACAGTAAAAACCATAATGGAAGTTAACTTGGATCGCATTTACCAAATCCTTTCTGGTATCATATTTTAACAAAATACAATACTAACGACGACAAATCTTTCATTGTTGACTATTCAACGTATGCGTCCTTGTGTGTGATTGGTCCTGAGGTAATTTCAGAAATGAGAAACGTAAAGTCAGTTATGGAAGGCCTAAAGCTTCAATCTGACTTGCATGTACCAACTCAACTGATTAAAATTCATTGAATTTTTGTTCCCCGTAATTACCTTGCTAGTGTGGTGAGCAGCGGTCTCGCAGAGCGTATTTTGGGATCAGGATAAGGGCTGCTATCGGAATGAGGCTGCTTGCAGGCTGACCTGTTAGGATGGAAATTACTGGGTGTTGTGTTTTTTTGTCTGAATTACCAGAATAGTGCATGATGGGAAGGCCCGGGGTCAGTGGTCCTGTTTGCATGTGGCATCATATAGGATTAATCTTGCAGATTGGAGATGGCGCAATTGCATGAATACATTAGTGTCAGTGTTTTGTGCAAGATGGCACCGAGGCGAATTTAATGCTTATTTAAAGTGACAATCAGGGCCTCATCGATACCATCAGCCCAGTTATTTCCTGGTTGAAATTCAAACCCATTCATTACACTTGGTTTCCTCACTAATCAATTTGAAGAAATTTCTGTTTCACCTCGTGAAAATGGAATTAATATTGCTCAGTCATTTATCTCTATACATTCCAGGAACCAGATAAAAACATTTCATTTTGGTTTCGACTGAAATGGCCTAATCAAGTACTCAGTGTGTAACACTAAAAAAGTCTGACAATTTGATGACGGAAAAAGCCAAAAATACTCTGATAAATGGAATGTTTTTGTATGAAAGTAAGTGTCGTAATTATTGCTTGGCAACACTAAATTGGGAATTTGTACTTAAAAAGAAATAGTCTCCAGCAACATTGTCTGCTGAGGGAATATATTTCCTATATCACTGCATATGGGATAACTTTTTGCTCTTTTCGGGAAATAGTACTCAATAGTAGCAACTTTATTTTGCCTGGTTTCAGGTTTGAAACATATAAATTCCTAGTGTTTTCATTTTGACAAACAATATCATTGATAACTTCTTTATTTACAATTGAGCCTCACACAAAACTTTGCATATAAGTATCGATAAGTAATATGAATTCATGCCATTGTTTTGTCCTTATTATCCTACATCATCTTCTGAAATAAAAATGAGTCCTTTCCTTCTGCTTGTGGGAATATTGTGGGGTCCAGGGCAGAATAGTTCCCCAGTACCTCATGCCTGTCTCTCCCTGGGGTCCAGGGCAGAATAGTTCCCCAGTACCTCATGCCTGTCTCTCCCTGGGGTCCAGGGCAGAATAGTTCCCCAGTACCTCATGCTTGTCTCTCCCTGGGGTCCAGGGCAGAATAGTTCCCCAGTACCTCATGCTTGTCTCTCCCTGGGGTCCAGGGCAGAATAGGTCCCTAGTACCTCATGCTTGTCTCTCCCTGGGTCCATGTTTGCATCCAAGTTCACCCCATTATGTTTCTTTGTTTGTCAGCATCATACCCATGCTCGTGGGTTTCGCCAAAGTGGTAAACGTCTGAGACCTGAATCACTTGGGGCTTTCCTCCTACATTAAGCTGACACTCTGTGATACAGCTGGAATACTGTTCAGAGCAGCAGTAAACCCAACTCACTCCTTTTAAAGGCATGTGTTTTTTATTTCACATGTAGACTTTCATTTTCATATGTTCCAGTAGTATTAATCACTTTCTCCTAGATGTAACAAGAGTCATCAGGAGATGACATATCCCCCCGGTCTGGACATTGGCTACTTATACCCCACTTTTGGTTCATTGCCATTGGATACCTTCAGTTCAGTGAAGATAAAAAAAAATGCTGTTCAGTATTTTTCAAAATCCCAGATCTGTATACCAAGTTTCATCTGGAAATATTCAACAGTTTTGGAGTTCTGCTCTGGAAACGAGCACTACTTTCATTTTCAGTAAAAGTCCAACTTGTCGTCATGAATTTTTTTTTTTAAATTTCCAAATCATTAATAGGCACCAATTCCCTACTAGACTGATCTATATAGCAAGTTTCAACAAGAAATATTAAACCGTTTTGGAGTTCTACTCCAGAAATGGAAAACATCTTGTCGTCATCATGAAAAATCATGAAAACAAGCAAAATCAAAAGAATCAAAATCCCAAATCATCAAAAGACACCAGTTCCCCACCAGTTTCAACCAAAAATATTTAACGGTTTTGGAGCTCTGCTCCAGAAACAAGAAAGGACGGCTGATGGACAGACAGACATTGTGATTGATAAAACTTTAACCATAATACTCAAAGACCTGATCCCCAGGTTATAGTCCATATATAAGGCATCTTTATGCTGACACAGTTCAAGTTAAACTCCAAGACACGGACACTACTGTTTACTGTCTTTTTGACAATAGCAGCAGTCAGGTTAATCCTAGTAACTGATTTCAGTGAACTCTACCATGTTACTGTGGTAGTGAGATAACACAGACATTCCACTCCTGGACATGGTATATCTGGAGATATTCACATCAGACACATACCTCATTGTAATCCTTTTGTGGCACAGGGATGATGAGATTAAACCTGAGAGACACTTTAATAGCAGCAGGAGCAACACGGAGGGAGTGGGGACTGGGAGCAGGAGGAGGCTGCGATGCCGCTATGCCGTCCCTGACATTGCTCAGTGTCATTGGTCGGATGATGTTACCCACAAGCGCAAGACAAACCTGACATGACATAAATGTGAATATGTATGATGTGGGTTAACGCTGTTACTCAGAGTCTGTGACACTTAAAACTTTCTCACTGACACCTGGAAGCACTGATCTCTTACAATGTATGACAAGTGCAGCCAAGCTTTCAATGTCTTATCTTGCTCGTTGACGGCAATCCTGTTCACATGTAATTGTAATGGTGTTTGTCAGGGCTTGTGGAAGTCTTAGCACTTTTCAGGAGTTCAGCATGTTTGATTGAACAATATGTATATTAGTTTCGACAATTTGTTCTTTGGTGTCAATCCTGCTTAGCAACCTTTGAGACTAAATTGTTGATTGCAGATACATCGTAGGCTCAGCAGAGTGCCCTCAATCTGCCACATCACCTGGGCGAAGCTCTAACAACAATGAGGAACCAGAGAGGTCAAGGTCGAGGACTGGTCTGGCACTGCTGGACAAGATGGTGGCCCGCCTGGAGGCCAGTCCTCGACACAGGATGTGTCAGCATCGGGGTGGATGTGTCCTGTATGTTCTCAAGGTAAGTGTCATGTCCTCAGTGATGGTGTCATGCTTGTCCTCATGTATTTTCATGTCGGTCCTTACTCTTTGTTGGTGCCATGTCCTCAATGTGGGTGTCATGTCCTCAATGTGGGCGTCATGTCCTCAATGTGGACATCATGTCCTCAATGTGGACATCATGTCCTCAATGTGGGCGTCATGTCCTCAATGTGGGTGTCATGTCCTCAATGTGGGCGTCATGTCCTCAATGTGGGGGCCATGTCCTCAATGTGGGTGTCATGTCCTCAATGTGGGCGTCATGTCCTCAATGTGGACATCATGTCCTCAATGTGGGTGCCATGTCCTCAATGAGGGCGTCATATCCTCAATGTGGGTGTCATGTCCTCAATGTGGGCGTCATGTCTTCAATGTGGGCGTCATGTCCTCAATGTGGGCGTCATGTCCTCAATGTGGGTGTCATGTCCTCAATGTGGGCGTCATGTCCTCAATGAGGGCGTCATGTTCTCAATGTGGACGTCATGTCCTCAATGTGGACGTCATGTTCTCAATGTGGACGTCATGTCCTCAATGTGGGCGTCATGTCCTCAATTTGGGCGTCATATCCTCAATCTGGGCCTCATGTCCTCAATCTGGGTGGCATATCCTCAATGTGCCAGGTCCTCAATGTAGATGTAATGTCATCAATGTGGACATCATGTTCTCAATGTGGGCGTCATGTCCTCAATGAGGGGGTCATGTTCTCAATGTGGACGTCATATCCTCATTGTACCATGTCCTCAATATAGATGTCATGTCCTCAATGTGGGGAGCTTCATGTCCTCAATGAAGGACATCGTGTGCCCAGAATGAAAGTCTGGTGAGTGTTGAGTGCCAGTTTAGCTGATACTTGTGCTTCAGTACTGGAGAGATTACAGGTATTGCTTGCAGTTGAAACTCAGAGCGATGGCATGCACTGAAATGCTTCTAATACAGATGTGCTGAAAGAGGAGATTGATAAGTTACAATAACATGGCCCACAAATTTGTCATGTTTGCTCATTGCACCCCAAAAGTAAGACAGCTCAGGAAATGGGTATAAGTATGGCCTGTACACTGTAGGGGGATGGGAGACTAGGGTTTCCCACAGTGGTGGGTATAAGTATGGCCTGTACACTGTAGGGGGATGGGGGACTAGGGTTTCCCCCAGGGGTGGGTATAAGTATGGCCTGTACACTGTAGGGGGATGGAGGGCTAGGGTTTCCCCCAGGGGTGGGTATAAGTATGGCCTGTACACTGTAGGGGGATAGGGGATTAGGGTTTCCCCCAGGGGTGGGTATAAGTATGGCCTGTACACTGTAGGGAGATGGGGGACTAGGGTTTCCCCCAGGGGTGGGTATAAGTATGGCCTGTACACTGTAGGGGGATGAGGGACTAGGGTTTCCCCCAGGGGTGGGTATAAGTATGGCCTGTACAGCAATGGGATAGGGGACTAGGGTTTCCCCCAGGGGTGGGTATAAGTATGGCCTGTACACAGTAGGGGGATAGGGGACTAGGGTTTCCCCCAGGGGTGGGTATAAGTATGGCCTGTACACTGTAGGGGGATAGGGGACAAGGGTTTCCCCCAGGGGTGGGTATAAGTTTGGCCTGTACACTGTAGGGGGAAAGGGGACTAGGGTTTCCCCCAGTGGTGGGTATAAGTATGGCCTGTACAGCAATGGAATAGGGGACTAGGGTTTCCCCCAGGGGTGGGTATAAGTATGGCCTGTACACTGTAGGGGGATGGGGGACTAGGGTTTCCCCCAGGGGTGGGTATAAGTATTGCCTGTACACTGTAGGGGGATGGGGGACTAGGGTTTCCCCCAGGGGTGGGTATAAGTATTGCCTGTACACTGTAGGGGGATAGAGGACTAGGGTTTCCCCCAGGGGTGGGTATAAGTATGGCCTGTACACTGTAGGGGAGGGGGGACAAGGGTTTCCCCAAGGGGTGGGTATAAGTATGGCCTGTACACTGTAGGGGGATAGAGGACTAGGGTTTCCCCCAGGGGTGGGTATAAGTATGGCCTGTACACTGTAGGGGGATAGGGGACTAGGGTTTCCCCCAGTGGTGGGTATAAGTATGGCCTGTACAGCAATGGAATAGGGGACTAGGGTTTCCCCCAGTGGTGGGTATAAGTATGGCCTGTACACTGTAGGGGGATAGGGGACTAGGGTTTCCCCCAGGGGTGGGTATAAGTATGGCCTGTACAGCAATGGAATAGGGGACTAGGGTTTCCCCCAAGGGTGGGTATAAGTATGGCCTGTACACTGTAGGGGGATGGTGGACTAGGGTTTCCCCTAGTGGTGGGTATAAGTATGGCCTGTACACTGTAGGGGAAAAGGTGCTAGGGTTCCCCCCCAACGGTAAGTACAAGTATGGCCTGTACACTGTAGGGGGATGAGAGACTAGGGTTTCCCCCATGGGTAGGTATAAGTATGGCCTGTACACAGTAGGGGGTAGGGAGACTAGGGTTTCCCCCATGGGTAGGTATAAGTATGGCCTGTACACTGTAGGGGGATGGGGGACTAGGGTTTCCCCCAGGGGTGGGTATAAGCATGGCCTGTACACTGTAGAGGAAGAGGTGCTAAGGTTCCCCCAGTGGTGGGTATAAGCATGGCCTGTACACTGTAGGGGAAGAGGTGCTAGGGTTCCCTCAGGGGTGTGTAGAAGCACAGCCTGTACAGCAGGGGGATGGGGGACTTGGCTTCTCCAGGGGAGGGGTACAGCATGGCCTGTACAGCAGGGGGGTGGGGGACTTGGCTTCTCCAGGGGAGGGGTATAGCATGGCTGGTACACAGCATGCAGGGATGTGAGGAAAGATCAGACAAGGGGCCTGACTGACTGCCTTCATCCTAATCCATCATTCCTGACAAGTCTCACACTGACACTGATAGTTCCACCATAATCACAACCGGACTGGCTGACTCCAGTAGACTTGCTGGATGGCTCCCTATACTTTATTTCCTTGTCTTCAACTTACTGAGGTGGTGTGGGAGGCTGGTTGAGTTTGTTCCAAATGCAGGAGAAATGGAGGCAAAATCTTATTGCTTTGGGGCGATATTATTTAGTGCAGTACTATTATTACACTTTAATATGATGTATAAGGTTATATATATATATATATATATATATATATATAAAGTATGTAAAGTTTGTTAAGTTTGTTTTTAGTTGTTTTTTTATAAGTTTTCTTAGCTGTTTGTACTCAACCCTTAGTGAGTGTGTTTGGACAAGAAAATTTCCATTATCTAAAGTTATTTTACGGATGCAACTACACAACTTGATCTGTGATAGAAGATCTGTCCTTTGGGTAGGGTGCAATGGAACTATCATGGGGATCTGTCCTTTGGGTAGGGTGCAATGGAACTATCATTGGGATCTGTCCTTTGGGTAGGGTGCAATAGAACTATCATTGGGATCTGTCCTTTGGGTAGGGTGCAATGGAACTATCATCGGGATCTGTCCTTTGGGTAGGTTGCAATAGAACTATCATGGGGATCTGTCCTTTGGGTAGGTTGCAATGGAACTATCATCAGGATCTGTCCTTTGGGTAGGGTGCAATGGAACTATCATTGGGATCTGTCCTTTGGGTAGAGTGCAATAGAACTATCATGGGGATCTGTCCTTTGGGTAGGGTGCAATAGAACTATCATGGGGATCTGTCCTTTGGGTAGGGTGCAATGGAACTATCATTGGGATCTGTCCTTTGGTAGGGTGCAATGGAACTATCATCGGGATCTGTCCTTTGGGTAGGGTGCAATGGAACTATCATCAGGATCTGTCCTTTGGGTAGGGTGCAATGGAACTATCATCGGGATCTGTCCTTTCGGTAGGGTGCAATAGAACTATCATGGGGATCTGTCCTTTGGGTAGGGTGCAATAGAACTATCATCGGGATCTGTCCTTTGGGTAGGGTGCAATGGAACTATCATCAGGATCTGTCCTTTGGGTAGGGTGCAATGGAACTATCATCGGGATCTATCCTTTGGGTAGGGTGCAATAGAACTATCATGGGGATCTGTCCTTTGGGTAGGGTGCAATAGAACTATCATCGGGATCTGTCCTTTGGGTAGGGTGCAATGGAACTATCATCGGGATCTGTCCTTTGGTAGGGTGCAATGGAACTATCATCGGGATCTGTCCCTTGGTAGGGTGCAATGGAACTATCATCGGGATCTGTCCTTTGGGTAGGGTGCAATGGAACTATCATCGGGATCTGTCCTTTGGGTAGGGTGCAATAGAACTATCATTGGGATCTGTCCTTTGGTAGGGTGCAATGGAACTATCATCGGGATCTGTCCTTTGGGTAGGGTGCAATGGAACTATCATCAGGATCTGTCCTTTGGGTAGGGTGCAATGGAACTATCATCGGGATCTGTCCTTTGGGTAGGGTGCAATGGAACTATCATGGGGATCTGTCCTTTGGGTAGGGTGCAATAGAACTATCATGGGGATCTGTCCTTTGGGTAGGGTGCAATGGAACTATCATCGGGATCTGTCCTTTGGTAGGGTGCAATGGAACTATCATCGGGATCTGTCCCTTGGTAGGGTGCAATGGAACTATCATCGGGATCTGTCCTTTGGGTAGGGTGCAATGGAACTATCATCGGGATCTGTCCTTTGGGTAGGGTGCAATAGAACTATCATCAGGATCTGTCCTTTGGGTAGGGTGCAATAGAACTATCATAGGGATCTGTCCTTTGGGTAGGGTGCAATAGAACTATCATCGGGATCTGTCCTTTGGGTAGGGTGCAATAGAACTATCATCGGGATCTGTCCTTTGGGTAGGGTGCAATGGAACTATCATGGGGATCTGTCCTTTGGGTAGGGTGCAATGGAACTATCATCGGGATCTGTCCCTTGGTAGGGTGCAATGGAACTATCATTTGGAGAATTATACCAAGAAACATTTTGAAATGAAGGTCATGAAAATAAAGACATTCTTCGGGGATCTTGATATTCAAAAAATATAAAAAAAACACTCAGGATTTGTTTTTAGAAAAG